AGTATCACTACGGAAGTAGGATTGCCCAACCTTCCTTCCAAGGAGTGGCTGGTGGGTTTGAACCGCCAGCCGCCTGGTTAGCAGGCAAGTGTCTTAGCCACTATGCTACCAGAGCTCCTAATATTTCAAATATTAGGAAATGTTAAATTCAGGGGCAGAACTAAGATTTTTGAAAGGTCTGGCTACACAAAAAATCATGATGCATGGTGCTCTAAGAATACCAACCATTTTTTTTAAAACAGGAAATATCAATTTCAAACCTCAGATAATGAAAGACAGATGAAAACTGCAAGAAAAAAAAAGAAACATTAAGAGGAAAAAAATGACAAGATAATTTTATCTTTGGATTAAGACTTATTTTAATATACATAATGTATAGCACTTCATATAATTTATTAATGTCATTTTCTATAGTACACTGTAATTAATTCAGTGACATCAATATTGATCTCATACAAATAAAGGATGAAAGCTGGGTTTTCTTGTGTACCAAGTACAAAACATGTGCTCAAAGTTATCACATACAATAGTTCTAAGAGATCAGCTTTCAGGTTGAGTCTAGTTTACAGTAGTTGCTTCACACGGTTTTCCCTCAAGGGTTGGATGTCACCCAGTGTTGCTGTGTCTGTGCAAATACGAGCTCTGGACTGCCCGACTACCTCCTTTTGCCAGCTCCACTTTTGCCTGTTTTACTGCTACCACTGCTAGATTTGCCAGACGATTTTGAAGAGAACAGTCTTGTCATGAATTCAGAAACATCAGGCAATTCATGGTTGGAATTCAGCATATTCATTGACTGTTCCATCTCCTACAGGGAGACAAAAGCACAACGACATGAAATGCACTGGGATCCTTCAAGTCATTTTAACTTCTAATATTCTCTACAGAAGGAAGAAAGATGAGAGCAGAACAAGTAAAAGATGTTAGTTCTAAGCAATGATGTAATGTCATATCAAATAGTACATTAAGTATACCTCATTAGTAATCATATTTTATACCTTCTTGCACTACTAAAGGTGCTTTGGTGTCACAGTGGTTAAGGCATTCAGCTACTAACCCAAGGTCAGCAGTTCAAACCCAACAGGCACTCCACAGGAGAACGATGAGGCAGCCAGCTTGCGTAAATATTTATAGCCTTGGAAACTCTATGCTGCAGTTCTACTTTGGTCTATAAGGTTTTTGTATTACTAAGCATTTAGTATATGGTCTATAGTAAATGTCCAGTGAATTCTTGCCTGGGGTTTGATTTAGCTTAAGTTTTCATAAAAAGCATTTTCTCTGATAATGGATATATTTGATAATATTCTTGATATTTTATATTTCTGATTATAAACGAAAAGCCAAACCTACTGCCATCAAGTCAATTCCAACCCACTGGGTTTCCAAGACTGTAAATCTTTGCAAAAGTAGATTGCCTTACTGTCTTCTCGTGGAGCAGCTGGTGGGTTTGAACTGCTGGCCTTCTGGTTAGCAACCAGATGCCTTACCCACTATACCACAAGAGCGCCTTTTTCTGATTATAGTGCTAATTGTTTTAACTAGTGTTTTTTTAAGCTCCTGTTTCCTTTAGATGCATATAACCAGAATATCAATCTTTAATTATTATGTATCAAAGTATCAGGGAAGTTTGGAAGGTAACTGTAGTTTTTCCAAAAGTGCCCTAACTCCATAGTATTAAGTCTTGAGTACAGTATGTATCTCAATTACATCATCTAAAGCAAGCAACACACATTGCCAACAAGTTAATGGCTGGAGAGGATAAGGATCTGGCACTTTCATTTTGGGTTTCTGTCCTCTCCCTTATCGAGCCAACAATCTATAAAGTGCTGTTCTGCTTCTACTATATTAATGTAGTGTCTGCTTCATTTGAATTTTATAAGACATTTTCAAAAGTAAACTTAAAATTAGTGTAAGTTCAGATACAAAATAAAATAACAAATACTGTATTATTCATTATTTTAAACTGAACAGTATTAGAATATTAATTTGGAATTTCTCCCTTAAGGTGGAACTCATAAACAGGTTTTCAAAGAGAAGTTGATTTTACAGATAAGGTAAGAAAAGAAACATTATAAACATAAATCAAATATGTTAATATACCCTATTAATCAAGAGTTAAATGTAGATGGTAACAAGTCTTGAGCCCCTACAAAAATGTATCAACAACTCTATTTCTGAATCTGTTCCATTCTGAAGGTCTTGGATCAACAACTTTTTATAGTGCTTACTATGTCAAAGCACTTTGTAAGGAATGTACTTTTAATCCAGTGTACCTTCTGATGTTTCCTTCCATTGATATCACAGTTAAGTGACTTAACAGATACAAGGATTGCACAGAATGTATCATTTTCTGACCAACTTTGAAGCAAAGATGCCAACATTTAGCAATAAAACATTTTACAAGACTATAAAGTTTCATTTTTCAATAAAGCTTTCTCTGCCATTCTAGCTTGAAAAAGACATCTCCTATAGAACTTAATCACCTACTACCTTCACAACCATTTAATGTTTCCTGTGATTATTTTTATATATATTATTTCCCTATTAAAAAAAAAAATCCCCTGATAGCAAGCAGAGTGTTTTATGACTCTATTTCTTACATTTAACTGGACTATTAGCTTTTTGGGGAGCTTTGGTAGCATAGTGCCTAAGGCACTTGACTGCTTACCAGCAGGCTGGCGGTTCAAACCCACCAGCCACTCCTCGGAAGGAAGAAGGGGCAATCTACTTCCGTAGTGATACTGCCTTGGAAACCCAAGGAGGGGTCGCTATAAGTCAGGTCCGACTTGATGGCACATAACAACAACAACGAGCTTACTGACAACAGGGATACCAATATAATTTTTACAGCCCCAGAAATTCAAAACCTAGAAATTGCTTAATAAATGTTTATTGAGTATTGAATAAAATATCAACACATCAATATACCAAATCCAATGGAGGAACCTGGAATTCAGAAGATAATTGTTGATGGCTGTTGGACTGAAGAATGAACAACAGTTTTCAAAAACCCTATTGCCTTTTTTATGGAAGTCAACATTTAAGAGATAAATAATAGTGTCACTAAATTGGAAGCATTCTACTTAGCAACTCCTCTCTCCCTTGTAAAATCCCTATTCTATCTTCCCCCTTTGGTTTATCTGTATTTCTATTGTGAATCTGAACACATAAAACTCAATGTACACTCTGAAGAGAGTTTTGTAAAGACATATTATAATATCTATCATTTTACAAAATATTTGGATTAGATATATCAAAATTATGATGTATTTTAACTATTTAACGTGACACACAAAGAGACTAGGGCTAGTTAGATATGTTAGCTCTATGAAGAGACCCAGGCCTTTATCAGGCAGAACCAACTAAATGTATTTGGTCCAATGGAAACAGACTAATTAAATGCCAAGAACACAATAATGTGTTAACACAAACTCTATGTCATTTGGGAATTAGGATAAAAATGAAAAGACTCAAGCACCTAGTCACAATCTAAATCCAGATACCAGGATATAGTTCAAAACTCCACACTAGAAAATTATCCTACCCGTCTCATGTCGGGATCACTTGTGTTGACCACTTTGGGCAGAAGCACAAATATCAATAATGGAAGAACCATCATCATAACCTGTGAAAGAAAAGTAAATTCAGACAGTATTTTTCTCCCACTTAATACCTAGTGGAACAAAAATTGCACTTATTAACTAATGATGAAGCTAAAGATTCAAATGTTGTGTATAAAATAAAACTAGCAGCAAACAACCAATTCTACTGAATCAGCTCTGTTGATAGCAAGGTGTTCAACATCTGACTGTCCTAAATTGTAAGAAGCTTATCTATGCAGGTGTGGACTATATAGATATCCCATGTCATATATGTGCCAGTGATTAGTAGCTTTATTTAAGGCACCCTAGTAGCACGTGGTTAAAGCACTTGGCTGCAAAACAAAAGGTCAGCTTCTATAAATATTTACAGCCTTGGAAACACTATGGGGTAGCTCTACTCTTTCCTTATAGGGTCACTATGAATCTGTGTCAATTCCATGGCAATGGGTTGGGTTGGTTGGACAGTTTTATGTAACACGAACAGTTTGCAAACACAGCTATCCATTTACTTTCTTCAGTCTGCAGTCAGAGACTGGTGATCCTGATAAGCAGCTAGGCTGTTCTTTCCAGATGACTATGTGGGTCTTGGAGAAAACACTGTGAGCAATCCTACCACAGTAAGATTCACTGCATACCACTAGCACTTTTAGCTCCTTGATACTGTGTAGAAGAAACTTCCAGAAGCTTCTGGACAGCATGGACTTTGTTTTCTTTCTGCTCTCATAACCAATAATTAGAGCCCAACTTTTCATCCTCTGCATCCTTCTGATCTTTGTTTTCCTACTATGTGTAGAGAAATAGGTATGCAATATTTCTATTTATCATATTTACGCAAGTGAATGTGTAATGATAAGAACAATTACTGACATTTATATAGCACTGTCTGTGTACCAGACATTAGCTCATTCATTAACTCAATCCTATGTGATATATAATATGCCCTGCTTTACAGTTGAGGAAACTAAGGCAGACAGACTATGCCTAAGACACACAGAAAGTGGTAGACATAGAATTCCTATCCAGATATCCAAAGAGTTACACTATAATTAGTGTCCCTCTCACTAGCGTACATCCTTGAGAGCCTATAATATGGTAACAGGCAACAACTTTAGCAGAACAGTCTTTGATTTTTTCCAGCTAAAAAAACCTTTTTTTTTCAATTCTGACTGATCCCTTACTAAAGTAGTATTGAGGTATTTGTCTTCAATTTCATTAATTCTGTCTTCCACTGATTCAATTCTAACAAGCAAAGGCCTGTTCAATGCATTATCTATTTCTGAAATTTTAGTATTAATCTTCTAGATTTCTATCTGTAGATTTTGTATCATTTCTAATTTTTCTTTTGTCATTTTGTTCTTGCATTATCTTCCCAAATTATAAGGTTTTGTCTGTGTTTTCCTTGATCACTCAAACCATTAACTCACTGCCACTGAGTCAGATCTGACTCATAGCAACCCCTCCTTGGGCTGCCAAGATGGTATCACTACGGAAGTAGATTGCCCAACCTTCTTTCTGAGGAGTAACTGGTAGGTTTGAACCACCAGCCTTCTGGTTAACAGTCAAATGCCTTAGGCACTATGCTAGAGCTCCTCTCAATCCACTGGAGGTACCTAAATATAATTCTGAATTCCTTATCAGGGAGTACTAACACTACTGCTTCTTCAGGGATGTTTTCTGGTCCCTTGTTTCTACTACTTTATGTTGCTTCTTTGTGTGGACTGTGATGGTCTGCTGTCTCTATGACATTGTGACATCACTGTATTTATATTTAATTGGCGATTGTATGCTGATGTGATTCTCCCAGTATTTTTTTTCTTTTGTTCTGTTTTGATATATCAGAGTAAGCAGGGTAGTACACTTCTCTATTCACTAGTTGGTAGCACTTATGCACTCACCACCTATCTCCTGGTGGGTGTGGTAAAGAATGAGAGTAGGTGCACAGATCTATTAGGTGTTTGTGAAGGGCAGTGAAGGGTGAGTCAGGCTCATACTGGCTATCATCTATCGTTGGCCAGTTGGTGAAGAAGTAAGTAGTGGGTCTCACTCAGTAAGTAGGGATATAAGAAGTACAGATATGGCTTGGTTGTACAGCACAGCTGCTGTCTCCCACCCAATACGACAAAAACAACACTCAAAGAAAACACCAAAAAAGTTAAAACAAGAGGGCAAAAAACACACATTGCATAAACACAGAGGAACAACTGCCAAAAAAAGGA